AATCCACTACAAAAGCATTCCCAAGGAGGGTTGACGTCTGGTAGGTCTGGCCGGTCGTAAAATTCAGCTAAATCCTTTGCAACACGATTTTGTGTTTAACGAAACGTGTTGCGCCGACCCCAAGTAATTGGGATAAGGGCAGGAAGATGATGATGATGATTAGATTGACTTTAATGCTACGATTAACATATTATATCACACCGTGCGTATTGACAGAAATTTTCATTCGTGTCTTCATACATCTCATTTTATGATTGCCCTAAGCCCAAAATTTGGGCTTGTTGGCACAACAAGTTTGGTCAACAGGTTTGGTCATATAATAGCAAAGGGAATTGCTTCATGCCGCCTGCCTGCCTGACGTCAACCCTCTTTTGGCATGCTATTGTAGGTGGTAATGCTGCCATCATGCGGTTGACCAGTCGACAGACATTCGGCCGACGTCAAAACTCTACGTCTTTTTCTACGAAACACCCTGAATGGACTAGGGGTGGCAGTATTCTTAGCCGCTACCACACGGTACATCTTTACTCGGATCTTTAGACATCTCCAAAAATGAAAATGGACGACGACATGACGTAGACGCTACGACGGTTTGCCTACCCTGCAAGGGATATAGGCGAGATATATGTATGTATGACGTAGTGTGCGGTCGAAAAAAGTTCTAGTAACAATTAACCACTTGAAGGATAACTGTGATCATCCACCATAACACCCTACCTATGGTATAGGGTTTCATGACAACCTATAATATTATAGGTGTCCTAAGAAACTGACAGTAAAATTTACCTAGGTAGGCATACTCCCAGTCATTTCAGGTAAAAACGGATATAGGTAATAAAAAGTCAGACGAGTCTCAAACTGGTTTCTCTGACGTTGAAGATTGCTTGCTATTACCTATTATACACAGAGCAATGTAGTTAAGTTTCAGAGGGAATCTAGGAACAGGCAGGATGAAGCCTTCAAAAAGTTTCTGCTACTAATTTTGGAGAGCTAAAGATTAGAGAACGTTAAGAAAGACGAGAGAAGAGAACGTTATACCCAGAAATAATGAATAATGCTCTATCTAATAAGGCTTTGCAGTAAATAACGCGTTTTTGCGAATTTCTTTGTGTTTTAGCGCACTACAATCCTGGTTTCTAGGTGTTTATCAATACCTTGCTGCAATTAATTTCTTAATGTATCAGGTTCACTCTGAACTGTTCCTTTCCTCTGTGCTTATTACCATAATAGGCAGTTGGATTTCTGTCAGCCGCCAGATTTCCAATAAGAGAAAAGCCCATTTCTTGTATGATGCTCATAAGCTTGACTTAATAAGATGGTAATCAACTACAAGCTTCATGATCTCTCCAGAATGCTTTTTATGGTCAATGTGACGATAGGCTTAAGTTGGCGATATTTTCTATAATTTGTGTTGGATTGTGTTAATCGAAACTACCAAAACAAATAATTATCAAGATTAAAAATAAGTGAATCAAGAAAGAAGAACCTAAAGACCGTATTTATTTTGTTTGGAATATATACATACATACATATCATCATCATCTGCCTGCCATTATCCCAACTTATTTGGGGTCGGCGCAACATGTCTTTCTCTTCCATTCGTCTCTATCAGCCGTCATATCTTCGTTTACACCTCTTTGACTCATATCATCTTTTACACAATCCATCCAAACTTTCTTAGGCCTTCCTCTCCTTCTGCGTCCATCCACATTCATATTCATTACTTCTTTCGTCATATATCACGCATATATCCCTTGTGGGGTAGGCAAAGCGTAAACGGTGGCTGTAGCAACCAGCCATTTACACCACGTCTGACAAATGTTTGAGAGTCATTCAGAAGACTGTGTATCGCCATGGTGACAGGTTATCAGCTAGTTAGTCGGTTCTTACGACACCCACGGGAAAGATATGGGCTGATGCTATTCTAAGTAGGCACCACACGGCAAAGAGGCAGATAGATGATCAAGAAACAAAAAAAAACACCCACCAAACTACTCTTGCGACACATTTAACTTTGCAAAGCGTATCAATTGACAGCAGACATGCAGACGTAATCCCTGCAGTGAAAAGCAACAGAGACACGCTAAACTATATTCATAATCTTCCAGTGTGTCAGCCATATTGCTAGTGGACTGCTATAGGCTCGTGATGATGATAATATTTTCTGGAGGATCACAGACAGAAACACTAAAGTAGGAGAAAGACAGTACTTATTAAAGCTTTTTCTTTTTTCCACCATGCACCCTTCCAAAATCCTACAGAGTCAGATAGATGATCAAGAAACAAAGAATCAGCACCTAAGATCAGCAATCACTCTTTCGTATCAATAATTGTCAATAGACATGCAGACATAATCCCTCAGTGAAAAGCAACAGAGACACGCTAAACTATATTCATAATCTTCCAGTGTGTCAGCAATATTGCTAGTGGACTGCTATAGGCTCGTGATGATGATGATATTTTCTGGAGGTTCACAGACAGAAACACTAAAGGTGGAGAAAGACAGCACATTAAAACTTTTTCTTTTTTCCACCATGCTCCCTTCCAAAATCCTACAGAGTCAAATAGATGATACATTCATATATTCTATCACGCCTATATCCTTTGCGGGGTAGGCAGAGTGTAAACAACTGTAAGAAAGATGATAAAAAAACACTACTCTTACAACACATTTAACTATGCAAAGCGTATCAATTGACAACAGACATGCAGACATAATCCCTGCAGTGAAAAGCAATAGAGACATGCTAAACTATATTCACAATCTTCCAGTGTGTCAGCCATATTGCTAGTGGACTGCTATAAGCTAACGTGATGATGATGATGATATTTTCTGAAGAGGATCACAGACAGAAACACTAAAGGAGGAGAAAGACAGTACTTATTAAAACTTTTTCTATTTTCCACCATGCTCCGTTCCAAAATCCTACAGAGTCAGATAGATGATCAAGAAACAAAGAATCAGCATCTAAGATCAGCAATCACTCTTTCGTATCAATTGTCAATAGACATGCAGACGTAATCCTTGCAGTGAAAAGCAACAGAGACACGCTAAACTATATTCACAATCTTCCAGTGTGTCAGCCATATTGTGCGCTGGGTTGCGTGCGCGCTGCGCGCACAGAACGCGCAAAAACCAGCTCACACGCGGATAATGAGTCGAGGAATTTTCACTCGCGAGAAAAATATAGAGAGTGAAAACTGTAAACAAACAGGGAGGTAGCGTTGGCAGAAAAGTTGGAGATGTGTTTTCAGATAAATAATTTTGTAATTAATTAATGGAACATAGTCGCGAAACTATCCCGGTAGATGGAGCCCAGCCAACTCTTATTGGCCAAGATATACTTGCACTGTTTCGCAGGCTACAATTAAACCGCGGTAGCCGAGTTGGTAAAGGCGTCGGCAGTACAGATGCCGAAAGTTGTAGAATCAAAACCTGCCAGCGCTGTAATACTTATTTTGCATGTTTCCCAAAAATGAATAACGGTAATTGTTTCAAAATTTAGTAAGTATTTAATATTAATATCTCTAGCAAAATAAAATTATTATTTTGAAATCTTACGGACTAATCCATTATCGGTTTAGAAAACTGGTTCAAACTAGTCTAAATGTGCATCTAGAAAACCTTCTCTCTTCTAGAAAATCCTACCTACTGGACCCTACAGGAAATACGTCATAAGATAAATAAGGTATTTTGAGAAAATGCACATCTGTAGGATGCTTCCGAAATTTTTTTTTTACTGGACCCTACTGGAAAAACCTAATGAATTATAAATAAAATCGATATTTTTTTACTTTTATTAGCACATATTATTAGGTGTCTCACACGGAATATGAAGAAGAAGACGGCGAGCGTGTTTTAAGTAAGTCTTAGGTACCTAGGTTTCTATGCAATTTATTTATTGTAGGTAATAATTAACCTGACCTACCTAATCTACCTATCTACGAGTATTTCATAATTATATCTAGACTCTCTTTGACGTCGAAGGAAGGGTGAATCGAGTTTGCTAAGCATATTAGCACTGAATATACCTACTAGCTCATATATATTATAGCTAGCACTAGATATTAGTTCCTATAGGCTAAGGGTAATAAACTTAGCCTAGGCTACTCAAGGTCTAGAAACTGTAATATTGTGGCAGACAGCTGGTGGTAATTCGAGCAAAGTTCTGCGGTGCAGTAGGAATTCTAATACAAAGTGTAGGGCTCTGATTGGGGTTATACTTACCGAAGCTAAGTATCCTTATAGGTTACTGATACCTACGGAAAAATATGATTCAAAACCTTGAAAGAATAATAAGTATAACATTAAGCACTAAACCTTGAACTACATATCTTATAATGATTAAATATTAAAAGTACCTTTTGCCTAAGTAACGTACCTAAATCTTCAAACACTATTTTCTGAGAATAGATCTTTCATGAAATAAGTCTGGGTATTAGTTATTCATCTATATTACGGTAGTCTAAAGTATATTAAGGACACTAGGCTAGGAGACTGGACGGACTGTGGAACAAAGCAGAATAGCAGAGTAGTAGCCAAGGGGAGCAAAAAGACCAGTGGGATGACCATCGGCTCGATGGTGGTCCGATGACTTCGTCAACTCGACCTGATCTCAAGGAATAAGATTAGCACAGGACCGTAAGGTGCGGCGAAATAGAGAAGAGGCCTGTACCCTGCAGTGGGTGGATGTGTGCTGATGATGATGATGAAAAGATACTTTATTACATCTTTCTTTTTCTTCGTGTGGGATACCGAGTTGTTCAACGACCCGATGAACCCTGGTGTCAGAGTGTTTTAACCACCTACTGCAAGTAGCAAGCCTCTGACGTGGTTGTGTAACGACCGCCATCATAGACAGCAACCGGGGCCGACGGCTTAACGTGCCCATCTGAAGCACGGAAGCATCTTGTTTTTCGGACAATCAGGTGGTTCAGCCTGCAATGTCCTAACCAGACTGGGAACAAATTCACAAAGTGATAAATTTCAACTCTGTGAGTGATCCCACCGGGAATTGAACCCGGAACCTTCTGCGTGGCAGGCAGACATAGGTAGTAACCACTGCGCCACATAAGATCATGATGATGATGATGATGGTTGGTACATTTAATTTGCACACTGTACCACAAACGGGTAGCGCATACTGCATCTCAGTTTTTGCTGGCAGCGTCCGCGAGCGAAACCGAAAGTGGCGGTGCCAATTATGACATTGTTCGCGGAGAAAAACCGCAGGGAAAACGCCGCGGCTGTGTGCCGTGTGTGCCAGCTGGAAATCAAGATATTGTTCACGTTGTCATGTGTACGTACATATACAGGGTGTTAAGGACGGTGTACCGAAAACTTAGCAAGCACGATCAGGCCATCAAACTGAACAACTTTTACTAAGGAGCCAATGGTGGGAAACGAAAAAAATTTTCCGGCCTCCCATACAAAATTCACGATCAGCTGACTGATTTTGTATGGGAGGTCGGAATTTTTTTTTCGTTTCCCACCATTGGCTCCATAGTTAAAGTTGTTCAGTTTCATGGTCTGAGCACGCCTGCAAAGTTTTCGTTACACCGTCCCTAACACCCCGTATAAATCACACCTTTGGAGGTAGGCAGAACGTAAACGGCTATTTACACCACGTCGGACAAAAGATTAAGAGTCAAGTTGCAAGCCTGTCGCCTAAAATTGCACATCATGTCTCAAATTCCTTGGTTGCTTCTTACGACACCCACGAAAAATATTTGGGGTGATGCTATTCTAATCCACCACCACACGGTTGTAATGGTTGTTTTTTTAGGAAAATCGGTAAATGTGGCGTTCTTGTTATGAATAATAACTTATTGTTGGGTAGGTTAGGGTTGGAAGGTCGGAACTGACCTGCGAATAGAGTTTAGTCACGGAATTTACTGGTAAAACAATAAAACTATGGCCCTACCCTCAGGTACAACTATGGTCCAAACAAACCTGCATTTAAACAACATATTTCTCATTATAAAAAAAAACATACAAGTTTGTTTGGACCATAGTTGCAAGCTAGGACCATAGTTGTAAGGTTTTACTTATATTATGAGTAGGGTAGGTATAGTTTGGGTTGTTGTACCCGTTTCAATCGGTACATTTTTGGCTGTTTCCTGATTACACGGTTGCCTGGATGAAATTGCCACTTTAGCTATAAAGCCACCAATTGTTAAAATTTATTCAAATTTCTGTTTGTTTCTGTAATTTCCTGTTTTTTGTGCTATTAAGTATATTTTATCTTTGTCTTTTTAAATCTTCGTGGAACAATTTCGATGAAATATTCATACAATCCGAAATTCTGAGACTTAACTACCTACGTGTGTTTTAATACTAATATAGAGATAATTTGGCTTTTTTAACTCAAGATAATTTTGGATATTCAACTGTAGGTTTCTTACTCGCCTTGAAATTAATTATATTAATAGACTTATGAAACTTTTTAGGTCTAAGGAACACGAGGCAAGATTTATCAAGAGTTTAAATTTTATATTGTACCCGTTTTCACTTAAGGAAAATCAGGTTTTTCACAACTTATTAAACGTAGTTATCTAACAAAAAAATTCTTCAGTAGGTTCGGACATTATCTATTATTTACATACAGCAAAACATAAATCTTTTTGTCTTGATTGTAATACCCACAGGGAAAGTTGTTCCTTATGACCAGCCAGTTCTGCATTCTGGCTATCGATCACTAATAAAATTTTACCCTATATTAAATAAAATAAAAGTATTTATATTATTATTTGTAATATTTACGTAAACGAGCTCTTTAAGGGCGCTACACACCGGGCGCGTATTCGTGACGTGCACGTCATCACGCGCATAGACATGACGTTGTGTCATATGGGATTCTATGAGAGTCTGCACACCGAATACGCATGCGGACGCGTAATCACGGCGTAATCACGCACGTAGCGCGGTGTGTAGCCTCTCATACAATCACATACGATACAACGTCATCTCTACGCGCGTAGTGACGCCGCGTCGTGACAACGTGCACGTCACGCATACGGGCCTGGTGGATAGCGCCTTTTACCCCTTTATTGCTACAAAATTACTAAATTTCAGCTCGCGTATGTCAAGGTCTACTATATTATAATTAAGCATGAACAGAAGGTTCTGAATCTAGCCTGGGGTCTAAATTTTCCGCAAGTCTAGACTTTAGGCCTTGAGTTGGCCTCGTTTAGTGCTTAACCTAGGTACAATTGGTGCCTAGGGGATGGAATGAGTGTGTTTTACGGTATGTTTAAATGTAATTCTAAAAGGTACGTGCGACCTATATGACTTTAGATTCAAAGTTAGGGCTGTAAATTACATTTCCATTGTTCCTGTCTAAGCGAAAAAAAAGTGAAGTGAATATTTGTATGCAATAAATACTTACTTACAATGTACTGAAATTACGAATTTTCATAAAGTTTGTATAAAGAGTTCTATAATAAATTCTCTTATTTTCGGAAACTTAACGAAACATTAATTCTCATCTCAGTTTTTAGTTATTTTGTAGTAATAATAGACTCTAGTGTTGGACTTTTTCTGAAAATACAGGTCCAGGACAAAACGTTTGAATATTTTCTATTTCAGTCTTTTGTCTAGACTGTTTGAATATTCATTCGTTAATCACTTTTTAATATTAAAAAATACTTACTTTCCTACCTACGTAATTGAAGGAATGGTAGATATTTTAGGTTCGTTCATACAAATATGACAACTGAGTCATTCTCTCAGCTATGTTGTCACATTTCAATTAAGTATCCGCAACAGGGTAAAAACGTAAACAAATCTGACAAATCAACTTTAGTGTGAGTTTTTTTTTTAATTCTACCCCTCAAATGGGGTGGCCATTCTAAGCCGGCATCACACGGCTGCTATACCTACAGTCATTAAATAAATATCTTTAAATTATCCCAAAGAGAAGTAGATTGTAGCTTCCTGTACGTGAGTTACAACTGCAACCGACTAGCCTACTTTCAGCTTTCCTATATCGCCGCCTTTATCCCTAACGGGGTAGGCAGAACGTTAACGGCTGTGAAAAACGGTCATTTACACCGCGTCTGACAATAGTTTGAGAGTCACTCAAAAAACTCTGTATGACAGGTTGCCAGCCTGTCGCCTAAAATTGCAATACATCAACTCTTAAATCCTTTAGTTGCTTCTGACGACACCTACGGGAAAGATATGGGGTGAAGCTATTCTAAATTCTACCTACAATCTATACAAATAATATGACTGTTACAGGTCGGTCTCAAGTTTTTCTTAAATTGGCCTAAAATGACGTTGAATCACAGCTTCCTGTAGCTGAGTTACAACTACAACCGACTAGCCTACTCTTCAGCTTTCCTCGCGAAAGAAAAAGGACAAAATTGTGCAGAATGTAAAATATCCCAAGTTTATGAGAATAAGTATTTCTTCAACAAGTGTAAGATTTATTGCGATGTTCGCAATACCGTTTGATATCAATAAATATTTTAAATATCATACTGTACAGGTGAGATAGCAAACAAATGCCTATCTTATTAAAAATATATTGTACTACTCTACCTACAGTACTTTAATTTTAATAAATTTCTTTAATTTGGCCCAAAGAGAAGTGGAATCGTAGCTTCCTGTATTTGAGTTACAACTGCAACCGACTAGCCTACTCTCAGCTTTCCTCGCGAAAGGGAAACGATAATAATAGAGCAGAACTGTTCCAAGTTCAGCAGCGCAAGTGCGCGAGCGCAGGTCGGCGCACATGAGAGGAAAGCCGAAGATATATGTGGAGATAAGAAGACTATAAATACATACATATTGTAACCGTTGTATATATATATATATCACGCCTGGGTAGGCAGAGCGTAAACGTCTGTACAAAACGACCACTAACACCACGTCTGACAATTTAGTTTGAGAGTTACTCAGAAAACTTTGTATCACTATAGCGACAGGTTGTCAGCCTGTCGAATAAAATTTCTATAATTCGCAAATTGAATCGTAGCTTCCTGTAGTTGAGCAACAACTGCGACCGGCTAGCCTACTCTCAGCTTTCCTCGCGAAAGGGAAACGATAATAATAGAGCAGAACTGTTCCAAGTTCAACAGCGCAAGTGCGCGAGCGCAGTTCGGCTACACATGAGAGTGGGGGAAGTACCTACAGATAAATTCGAAGATAAGAGGACTATGCGTAGGTGGTCTATTGTGAAAAGGAAACGTTAGTAGACAAGAAGACTAGAAGACATGTCCCAAGACCTTAAGTGATATTTTTGTGGTATTTGGCTTTTCTCTATTTTTTAGATCTATTTTTTTTTATTTATTTGTTAGCGTCAACAAAACGTGTTGCGCCGACCCCAAGTAATTGGGATAAGGGCAGGAAGATGTAGATGATTTAGATATCATTACCACGTCTGTAAAAAGTTTGAGAGTCATGCAGAAGACTGTGTATCAGTAAAGTATTAATAATCCATTAACTATCTTTCCATTAACTAACCATTATTTCCGTAGTTTTATTTGGCATACAGGTAAAGACTACGACGTCTGCGTTTTTTTGCCCCGCCATAGCACAAACTAGAATGCAAAGATTTGAAAAAAGAAATGGCAAAGCTGGTGGTATTTTGCAACGGGCAAGGATATATATATTTTCTTTACTCCTTCTAACAAAGTGCAGGAAGCTTTTACCGCTACGAAACTTTAACCTTGAAATATCTGAAGACGTATCTTAAGACCGTCTCCCACTTACCCCCCTGCGTCGTAATGTCAAGTTTCCCCGACGTCGTATCGCCAGAATGCGCTTTCTTCCTTCTCTGTTGCACACAGATGCATTCGTTGCACATTGCACACAGACGCATTAGTTGCACAAAGCACACTAGTGTAGGTTGTAGTAAGACAGTGTGCACTTGATTGCTAGAGTTATGCCACTACATGGAATTGTAGAGATGGGACACACTCAAAGGTAGAATATTAAGCTAGTACGTAGCAGTTATTTTATGGTTTAGGAGGTAGTTCGTTTTTTATTCCTGTCTTAGAAAACCCCTACCTATACCTTTGCAGTAGAAGAAATAAAAGGCCATATTGCCACGTTTTGAATTCGTACAAGTATC